AATGATATCGAAATGCATTCGATCGAGAGTACGATTTGGATTTTGAATTGAATTGAATTAATGCCTTATTTTACGTGGCGAGACTCAGGCCATGTGGCCTGCTCTTCCGTCTGACCACGCAAATTTCGCTACGCTCCTTTCACCAACTAGCAGAGAAAGGAGGAATTTCTTGGGCGAGAAACAGGCGATTTGAATTTTGCTCAGAGACGTCATTTAGGCTTCAGGATCTTTTACATGCAAGTAAATCTACTAACATGGGGCAGTCGGCTTTACTTCCACTCCGAAGGCGTACAAAGAATTTTTTCCGCCCTTAAAAATCCACGGCTTCGATCAGGTTTCAACCCGCCAACTTGGGTATAACAGTCCGATACGCTAACCGATACACCATCGCCCCGCGCGGATTTTGTTGCTTCGTCTGCGGTTTGAGATGTGAAACTTTCACAGGTCAGTGTGAAAAAACCACTAGGCAACTTGTTTCATTGCGAACAACCAATAAAACGGTTAATTTTTAGTTACTAGAACTCGCGATAAGTAGGTAGTCGAGCTGATTAAATTGAATGACGTCCTAGACTCGTTGTAACTCAGATTCAATACCACAAATTTAAATTACTTCTTCTAATGAAACAAAAGTAATATTACAACGTTCAATTTAGAAGAGATATAAACAGTGGCTGAGAGAAGTGCATTCTGTGCTGGCGAGCGGTGTAATAGCTACTCGGCAGTAATACTCTTAGAGAGTTTAAAGTACATGATTACAATTTCCCGGAAGTTTTCAGAAAGTTCTTAATAAATAATGTTATGAAATACATTGCTGGAGGCCTTCATGAATAATGCATTGATTTATAGATTTCGGGAAATACGTTTGATCAGGAATAACATTTTAATTGACATGTTGAGTTTATACTGGGTGTTCCATTTAAAACTAATTTTGGAAATATCTCAGAAAGTGCGTATCGAATTAAGAAAAGTGGGTGTTAAAAGTTGTTCGTTTCGATGGGGTCCATCCAAATAATCCATTTTAAATAGAACACCCTGCATGTTTGGAATTACGAAGAAAATATTGGAAGTAATCAAAAAGAGTAGTATATACTAGATAAGAAAAAGTTATAGACGGTATATTTAATCAGTTATCAATCAACTGGTGAACGGGGGTGCCGCCAAAGTGGCGCCATCTAGAGGTTGTGGGGGCAAAGCACATGGGCCTCTTGGGCTCGGTTACATAACTCGGATATTCGGAACAAAGGAAGTCGGCATTTATTCACACCCTAATCAGTAGAACTGTACTTATTATCCTATACAATTTTCATGTTGCTTTTTAATTAACCAATCAAATTTAAGCAGATTTTCTACGAAATTTGTAATAACAAATCACACAATTAGATTATCATTTAGAAGAGCTTGCTAGAATTTGTTGCTTCCTAATTAGAGTTGTTGCTTCTTGGCAGTTGTGAGTTGACAGCTTCCTGACTAAGTGATTATAGCACGTTTATAGCTTTTCCGTAATAATATACCGTTATTATATAATGAACGCAACTAAAACAGGATCGGAAAGCCACTTTTAATGTCCGGCGCACATTAAGAATTTTGCAGACTGTTGTCTGTTAAGAAAAATGCAACAAAAGAGATGTAGCTCGAGAAGGCGTGAGTGTACACTGATTCCAAGAAATGGTACTTCTTTTTTGTATGATTTTTTTCTTATGAGATTTGGTATTTTAAAACGTATTGAACAACACTCGGCACTTAACGTATAAGATTCGTTTGATTATATCGCTTCGTTTTATCAAACGCGAACTGCTTCTTTTAGTTGTTTATCAACTTCATGACGTTAATAATTATTAAACTCGATGTTAGTCTCAGTTTTATGTGAAGGCTATGAATAAAAATTGTTATTGGCATATTGATAATTCTTACCAATTGAGGTGCTCAAAATAATAACGACAGATCCTAAGCGAAGTTCCTTTCAAGAAAAATTACTTTTTATATTTTCGTTCACGTCTATTTTCACTCCGAAAATATTTGTATTTTGAAGAGATTTGTCGTCTCCTCATTCATTTTATATTTCGACATATAATAGGTATATGGCCGGAGTCTTTCGCCATACTTCTGACTGAATATGCGAGGTCGATTGAGATCTGCGGTTATTATTTCGAAAGCAAATCAATTTAGTTTTGTATCAGTAGATATAATAATACTGAATTACACAACACCAAAACGGTCATTATAATATAAACAGTTTCTTCTATCAAATCTTCAGAGGTTTCAAAAACACATTTGTTGTTTACTATCATTATTGCATACACTACGATTTCGGTGCTATTCATCACCTTTATTCAAGGGCAGTATGCATTCCATTTTATTGCACTTGAAGAAAACGTGGTGTAATATAATAGCAAAGGAGTCTATATTCATTCATAGAGAACTTGAATGAGAAGAAGACTTTGTAGAAAAGTCTTTGTAGTTATTGTAAAAAAATATAAGAATGAATTCTAATTTTCAGGACATTATTCGAAAATTACGTGGAAAAGTACGCATTAAGGAAATGAAAAAAATATTTGCGTAGGGAAACGTTTATAGGAAATGAAAGGCAAATGTGTAAATGAGGGACTTCTGAGTAATCTGTTTACAATAAAGCATACAAATACGTAATGCAGGGGTAGCAAAAAAAAAAAAAAACAACAAAAAACAATAACTTTAGAAGATAACAAAGATCATTTTCGGTGTGTGTCCCCTTAGCATTCCTATCGTACGACTGTTCGTTCATTTCGTACACATGGCCGGCCGAAGTCCGCCGGTTGGCCCAGCCCCTCCCCCGCCCCGACACTCGCTTTCTCCGAAGGGCAGCACTTTCCGAGAGGCCGGCCCGACCCGGCGGGCGGCGAGTGCGCGGGTATCGGACGCCCTCCGCCAGACGCAGCGGCTGCGTGGGGCCGGCGGCTCTTATTAAATAGCGCGCTGAAATATTCAGCGTGGGCCACCGGGGTCGCCCGCCCCATTACGCTAATAAGTCCAGCGGCGGCGCGCGGCCGCGGGGCGGGGCGCGGCGCAGCGCGGAGTGTGGATGTACAGGGCCACGTGGAATGGGGCGGGGCGGGGCTGGGCGAGGAGGAGTGAGAGGTCGAGCGGGATTATGGGGTGGGGTGGGGCAGGTAAAGTGTAGTTGAGGAGTCGTATAGTTGTGGTATGAGGAGGGGGCTGGGCGAAGAGGACGGGCAGGGGCTTAGGCGAGGGGAACGTGGCCGAGGACGTTGGCTGAGTGGGGGCGTTGCGGACAGGCGGTGTGGAAGGAGCAGGGTGGCGGAGAGGGTGCGAGCGGGGTGGCGGGCGGGGTGGCGGAGCGGGGTGGCGGAGCGGGGTGGGCGAGCGGGTGGCGGAGCGGGGTGGTGGCGGGTCTGGCGGTGCGGGACCGTCCGAAAAGGACCTTCGTAGCTGAATGGGACATGCGGTTGGGGTAGTGAGGGCGGAGTGAGGCAGGGCGGACGAGGGAAAAACAAATGAAGCGGGGATGGCGGGCAGACCCAGGAGTAGCACAAACAATTGAACGGAGCGCAGAGCGCGGAGAGGCGGGGCGGCGGGTAGTAGAATGGAACGGGCGGAACGGGAGGCGGAGCGGAGGGTGAGTGGGGGCACAGCGGAGGTGTGGTGGAGCAAATGCATAGCGGAGAGCAGAGTAGGAGAGAGGCAGGTGGACGGAACTGGAGCAGGGCACGGGCGGGAGCGAAGGAAGGGGAGCGGGGGCGGCAGGGCGGGGCAGGCGGGGTGCGGCGGGCAATGCAGCGGAGCGAGAGCGCGGGGCCGAGGCGGGGCGGGTGGAATGAAAGGGGTAGACGGGTGGAACGAGCAGAGGGCTGCGTTGGGGTGGGTGGGTGGGATGGGCGTGGTGGAGCAATGCAGCGGAGAGCAGAGCGGAGAGAGGCGGGGAGGGGCGAAATGGGCGGGGCCGGGGCGGCGCGGACTGTGCGGCGCCGGGCGTGTGTCTGCGGTAGGCCGGGTTCTCGCTGCTAATTACACGGTGCCTTTCCCGCCCCGCCCCGCCCCTCGGCCTTGGCACCGCCGCCGCAGGTGTCCCAGCGCCCGTTCGCACCTCCGGCCTCGGGCGGCGCGGCTGTCGCGCTCAAATGGCCCACGCCGCCACCGCGCCGCCCGCCGCGCTGCAAAGCAGGGGGCGGGGCCAACGAAAAATTAAGAGATGGCTTACAGAATATATCTTCCGGGACAGGGAGGTGGAGGGATTAGGAGAGAAAATAAGTCGGACCACGATGTTATGGGAATATTGTTTCAGGGCCCTGGATATGCTTGTATTATTAATGTTCTCTAGGATGTGATAGTCATATACGTATTCGAACGTATGCACTGACTGGAAAATGTAACGTTGTATGCAAATAACTATCATATTTTATAACTATTTATTTGACGTATTTATGCTTAATATTTGTTAATATTTATGCTTAATAAAAGTAATATTATTCCACAACAAAAAAGTAATCACTGAGGAATTGACGTTGGTAGAAAACTGTGTCACCAGCTGCTCTAAATTAAATGAACTAACCACATATTTATCTCTATTCGTCAAGCAAATTTTCCATTATTCTATAATTGTTAAAACAAGCGTGAAATAAATAAAACACTACAGTATATGTTATATAGCACGTGAATAATTACTCACCTAGTAAATACCTAATGCTCGATACAGTCATTTTCTGTTAAAATAACTATTTTACCTCTGCAAATTATTAAGACCTTTATTGATTTCAAGCACTCAATATATTCCGTAATGCAATCACGGATTCAATTCGCGTTTGATGGAATATAATTAAACATTTACTTAGACTTGCTAACGCTACACATTATTTCTTTTGTACTCTTCATTGTGTATAGGGTTTTACTGTTTCTGCGTCTCGTGAATTCCAGAAACGACCTCATTTTTTTTGTAGCGGAGATTTTGTGCCCTCGAGCGCAGGCCTAAATTTGGCGCTGGAAAATCTCTGGAAGTGTGCGTTACTTGAGGCCGACTGCGCCTGGGCCTCGGCCACGAGTGCCGCTGCCGCATTAGCTGCAGGTGTCGCCGCTGACACGCCTCCGGCGGCCTTTGGCGCAGATGTGCTGCGAACGTCTCTGTGCTTGCGCCGCTCACGAAAATTATCCCATTCATTGGAGATCTCGCTCTCACCTGTTCAGATTTCGAAAATAATCTGGCGCAATAATATTTTTTGGTATAACTGGCGCAATGGTATGTTTGTATATAACTTACACTGTGTAGTTCAAATCTCTTGACGGCACATTCGTATATTTCGTAATTGCGTTTATGAAAATTTGCGGACGTGTACAACTAAGGAGCGAATAACTGGTTTTATGATTGTTGGCAGTGTCACCCATGGAAATGTTGCAATTTGCATTTCAGTAAATAAATCTAAAATTATGACAACAAATATAATTCTTTGAAATGCCTATACCATTTGTTCTTTTGGATGACACTTCTCGATTGTTATCTATCGCTCAATATGAATATTCAAGGACAGACCTCTCAGGTAGGGAAAAAGAAACTTTTTATAAGAAAAATATATCCAAATTCTCATTTTAAAAACTTCACTAACTTCGATTGTAAATATACGTGATTTCATTATGCAATTTTCTATGCAAATGAAGAATATTGTGAAAAGAGGCGTTTTGGAAACAAATTTTTGATTATATAATATTTCAATTTATTTGTCTTTTCTTAATAATATTTTGTTAATTATACATGACTTGCAGTAATATGCATTGCAGTAATATATTTGACTGCAAGTAATTATTTGAATGGTAATGAAATTGCGATTATAATACGAGATATTATAAAAAATGATTAGTGGATATATTTATTTAATTATTTATTTATTTATTTACAAGAAATATCACAGCTTGAAAAAAAATAATAATATTCTTCTTTCAATACAAATAATGATAAATTTATTTTTTCAGTGCGTTAATTAAATTTAAAGCAACTTGTTGTTCACAAGTCCAAATATTTGTGTGAATTGCAACACTGACCGTTGAACTTGGCTCCCGCGTGACGCGCTGTTGTCAAATGCGCGTGCGAATGGCTCCACTTAGCGGCCCTCGAATGAGTGCGACTGACGCGCGCTCCCGGCGGCGGCGCTTGCAGTCTGGGCGGCAGGCGCCGGCTCTTGACGCCCCCACCCCCTCTGACGTCACTACCGCGTTGAAAGTGTTATTGTCTCTGGGCAAACCTGTAGATTGTAGGAATGGTAGAAGTCGTAGCTTCCCAGCCTCGTATTTACAAGTTTGCAGGATTGATCTCCGTCCGAATAGATATTTCATCTAATTTGTGGAATAAATATGGGTTGTAAATTTTGCATTGCACAAACTCCCGATTCATAAACTAGATCGCACTTCGATTGTGTGTTAAATCTGTTCAAACATTCGGTATTCTTCTATTTACAGACAATCACTATCGTGGTAATTGTTATTGTGTGGAATTTTAGGGACATCAATTAAAACCAAATAAGGATTATATTAAACGGGGAGGAGGGGATGTTTAATAATATTCTTAACATTCTGTTTATTCTTAAACATTCCCCCCTCTATTATTTATGTTCCTTTTTTGGTTTTAACTCATCTCCCTAATATTCCATACAAAAACAATTACCAAGAAAGTGTCTATAAATAGGATACCGAATGTTCGAACGAACTCTAGATTGTTTATGTAAATCACGTTGGCCGACGCCCGGAGCCTCAGCGAATAATCGTGATCCTAAAAGTATTTTAGCATGAAATTCATGGGTAATAATGCATTGCATAGACTCGGCAACGTTCCATGTAAACTACGAAGGCCGAAGGCCGGAGTCTTGCTCGTTAGACCTAGAAAACACGCAAGCGATAGTCAGTCGATTTGAGTCTGAAAGCATGTTGATTGCTTAGGCTGCAATCTTGACATCAGAATTGGTGTGTGATAAGAGACATTAGGTTGCAAATTAAAGTGACGCGTTTTCCATGTGGGGCGTTCCTCAGGGACCCTGGTGTGCGAAGACGCTGCCGCCGCCGCGACCGCCCACCAGCCGCTGGAAGTCCCGCACCGAAGAGCACGCGCGCAGCCACAGCACTGCAGCACACACACACACAAGGTCACTCGCTTCGCTCGAAACTCAATGAAGCCTAGCTCTATAAAATGTAGTTACAAGAATGTGGAATTCCGTTTTTTGCAAAGACGCCTCTTTAGAGACGCCTTTATGATGTATGACTCCTGTAAGGGTTTCCTTTGTATAAATGACGAGTAGGGTGCGTGCACACTGAGAAAATGCTGAAATCTTTTCCCCCTGAGGATTTCTGTACGTGTTTGACTTCCTTAAGGTTTTCATTAGTATAAGTGACGTGCAGGGTGCGTGCACACTGAAAAGATGCTGAAGACTTTTCCGAAAGGATTTTCTGTACATGTATGATTGCCTTAAGGTTTTCCTTAGTATATGGGTCGAGTAGGTGGCGTGCGCACTGAGGTGATGTGTGCTTTTTCCCTGAGGATTTCTGTACTTGTATGACTTCCTTAAGGTTTTCCTTAGTATAAGGATCGAGTTGGGGGCGTGCGTACAGAGAAAGTACTGGAGGCTTTTCCCTGAGAATTTCCTGTACGTGTATGACTACCTTAAGGGTTTCCTTAGTACACGTGACGAGTAGGGTTTGTGCACACTGAGAAAATGCTAGAAGCTTTTTCTCTGAAGACTTTCTATACGTGTATGACTTCCTTAAGGTTTTCCTTTGTGCAAGTGACGAGAAGGGGGCGTGCGCACTAAGGAAATGCTGGAGTCTTTTCCCCTGAGGATTTCCCGTACGTGTATGATTGATTGCCTCAAGGTTTTCCTTGGCATAAGGACGAGCAGGGAGCGTGCGCGCTGGGGCTTTTCCCTGAGGATTTTCCGTACGTGTATGATTGATTGCATTAAGGTTTTCCTTGGTATAAGCGACGAGCAGGGGGCGTGCGCGCTGGGGCTTTTCCCCTGAGGATTTCCCGTACGTGTATGATTAATTGCCTTAAGGTTTTCCTTGATATAAGTGCCTAGCAGGGGGCGCGCGCACTGACCGAGGCCGCTGGCGAAGCAGAAGAGGGCGGCGAGGGCGAAGGCGGTGCTGTGCTGCGGAGGCGCCGCCGCCACCAGCGCCGCGCCCTGCGCCGGCAGCCACAGCGCCGAGTGCAGCAGCCAGGGCGTCGCCAGCACGCCCCACTCCTGTGCACGCGCAGCGCCCCGCGTCTTCACCTCCCCCTCCACGCAACGCCCTTATTATGGAGTACTATATCATTTTATATTTAGGTTTATTCAGTCAAAAAAAACAAACGTTAAAACTCTATGTGATTAAGGGGGGAAAAGATTATCTTTGCATGTATGTAGTTAGTTTTAACGATTATCATGATAGAAATAAAAGAGACAGAACTACCCTGTGGGTCTTGAAACAATACTTAAGTTATTTTCCCTGCAGGATTTCCTGCAAGGAAAAACCTCTCCATTTGTGGGAAAGGGTTCGATTTTTGGAATATCGCACGTTTTCTTCAGTTCCATAATCTCTTCCCGTAATTTCCACTATAAATAGTTGAAAGATGAGTAAAAGTTTAACATAAATAAATAAAAAAATTAAAAATTCCAAGATAAGCAATATTTGCAAAATAGTCTTTTTCGTTTGTGAGTTATAGAAAACGTATTTGCTGCGGTAAACGAATTGCAAGAATGATTTTTCTGCATTGCTAACGAAATAGCAACTCGCCGTCACCTCTACTATTACAATTACAAGCAAAAGGAGAGTTCAACAAAACGTGCGCATAGTGAAGCTACATTTACTAGTTATTAGTTTACATTTACTAATTAATAGAAACATCTGATATGGACGGTAGTACAGGGCACTGAAGACAAAATGCAGATAGCAGTATACAGATTAAATCAAACAGCAATAGAATATGGTTTTAAAATATTCACAGAAAAGCAATAAGTATGGTATATAAAGGAAAGTACCCAGTGAGAACAGAGATTGTAAAATAATTGATGTTGGCTGTCCGGTTGACGCCGCGTTGAAGGCTGTGTTGGTGACGTTTCGACCATGTTGTCGTGGGATTCCTCAGGGCTGGTTGAAACGTCGGGAAGACAGTCCTCAACGCGGCGTCACCCGGACAGCCAAGGTCATTTACACGACCCCTCCCCCACAAAGGCATCTTCACTTAAACTCGTTTTGTGAAAGATGGAAAAATATGTTATTGGTAAAATATTTTAAATATCTAGTTTAACACGTTTGAAAGAGATATAGATTTAGATATGGGACTAAATAAATTTAGAAATATCTACGGCGCAATACACAGATATCTAAAAATAAAACGAGGGAAAACAAAAGTAAAATTCTGCAACACAATAGCTGTGGCTCTGTTAATGTATGGATATGAAACATCGATGGCAAATAAGAAAAACACTCTAAAATCCTAGCAGCAGAAAAGAAAGTTTTGAGAAGAACTTACATCTTAGATAAAAAGAATAATAAAGATTTAAAAATAAACTGGAGGTTAAATCACTGCTGGAGAAACTGGAAGGAAATAAAACAAAATGTTATGAAATTTTCGAAAAATCTGAGATTTCAATGAACAAGGGACCTGCACTATTCTCTTAAGTGTCCTTTATGATATCCGAGGACACTGATTTATAAAAAAATGGTTTTACTTTTAAGAAAATTTTGAAACAATTTTTTAGAATTAATGTAAAGTACCCATAAAATTAAAAAATATTGGTTTTAAAATCCTAAATACTCGAGTTTATACAGTTCAATCAAAAATATTAATTTATAAGAAAAACTGATTGGACGCTAACATTAACCACAGACGGACAAACAATTTGCTGTCATTTGATTTTTTGTTATCAAGGGCCCACAAAATATGAAATCTGTCTACATTACGTGTTAGGAAAATGTAATTTACTTTATGTAGCAAAATGTTTTATCTATTTCTTTGTAGCCAGGTTCGGCAAGAAGAGTGTTTCTGCTGGAAATCCACCGGTGTTCGTCGTACAATACTTTCTCTTCTTACAAAGTAACTTCGTAAGGACGAGAAAGTAAAACTTAAAATGTAGTTGAAGAATGTGTTTGCCTTGCGGTAGCTCATGTACGAAGTCGTAGTAATCAAGATCATTTCCAATACTAAGTTCGTATTAGAACGACGACCGTTTAGATGATACAATGATTACCTTAATGGCTCTCGATAATCCAAATTTAGTGCAATATCTAGTCTACTGAAATTAGCATCTTCCATAAGGTAATGTTCAATACTGTTCCTATAACGTTGCAACTCCCATTCATTCATTTCGCCTGTTAATCCTTGAATCGTAATCTCAGCAATTCATTGCCTGTTGATTTAGATAATTCACTTCAAGGGAATTTAACATGCAAAAAATGAATTAGTGGCGCTCGTTATTTCAGGTGGCAATCGACGTTTTGACTACAAAATTTGAATTGAATTCACACATTCTATAGAGAACTGTCATTTTCTTCGTTTGTTTTCGAATGTCGTGAACAATATTCACAAAGCGATTTCATTTTGATTAGAGATAATTCATGTTTCGAAGCAATTACAACTAGTGATTTCAAACCACCATGCGATATTTCAACCTAGTACATATTCGGAAGATGAGAATTTTTATTTTTAAAACACTAATGGTTTTAGTTTGGAGGGGAATTAATTCTTTTCAACCAATTTTTGTGATTTTTTTCTTTAAATGAAAGGAAGTGTATACTGGGTGTGTTACCACTTGCTCTTATTATATAAGAAAAGTATAACTATATATTAAAATTAATATAATGAACGCTTATCTGCCATCGTTTGTTCTTTACATCGTTTTCGAGACCTAATACAGTAGGTGATACTGATATTTTGTTTTGTGAGTTTCAATTTATATATGTATGTATGTATGTATATTGAAACGAAGAACGTTTCTACATAATAATTAGCAAAACTGATATTAATTATAAGAAGAGAAACGCTGATTCGATCAGCGTAGTGACGCCGCCGCCGCCGCTGCCACCAACGGTCAAACCGGGGGCAGGTGCGCGACGTGAGTGACGGTTGGTCAGTAGCGAACCGAGAGCCACGAGCGCCGGGTGTAATATTGCGAGAGGGGGCCGCTAGCGCCGGGTGAAGAATAGAAGCCGCGGGTGCAGTGCGGATGGGCTGTGATGCCCCAAACAAATGTGTGGTGAAATTACCAACAGTGTGGAGCTGATTATAGTTATTGAGTGGGAGAGTAGAGGTGCTAAAATAAATTATCAGATGATTGGAAGAAACAGTAGTG